GTATTCCCATGTATTCCAATGTATTCCCATGTATTCCCATGTATTCCCATGTATTCCCATGTATTCCCATGTATTCCCATGTATTCCCATGTATTCCCATGTATTCCCATGTATTCCCATGTATTCCCATGTATTCCCATGTATTCCCATGTATTCCCATGTATTCCCATGTATTCCCATGTATTCCCACGTTAGCAGTAGTGTAAATTGTCTTTTTGTCATATTTTTTTCTTTTGTGAACATTAATCTCAAAAAATAGATGTGCACTTAATGATTGTATGCTGGAAGGGTGGTGTTTAGGAATAAAAGACTTATAAAAAACTGTGTTTCAAATATACTTCAGAATTCAAAGAGCTTACAAAGTGGCAACTTTACGTGTTTGAAGATCACCACCATCAGATGTGGAACTAAACTCTTCAGTTTGCTTATACATATACTCCCAAAGGTCAACAGATGGGGCATCCCTTGGTACCCGATAATAAAGGGCGTCATCACAATGTAATTGAAGGATATCAAGTACTTTGTTAGAATTTTAAAGCTGTGCTAATGTGAGAGCACATTGCCTAAAACAAAAAAGGAAAGTAATGTTTGTAAGTAACTTAAGTTATTTAACAAAATCACGAGAAATTTTATCATGTTAGCTTGCAATCCTGTATGGTAAAATTAAGCGATTAAAATAAGAAATCATTAACTCTTTCATCAGTCAATTGCCCTTTTAACATATTGCCCTTTTTCAAAGGCTACATTCGTGCTCTCTAAACTTCCCACCTGCATCCATAAGTCGATATACGCACGCTGAGCATAACCAAATTCTTAATAGGCCTTATCACGGTTTTTGGCGCATCTTGACGGGTAGGCAAAGCGCTCAGATATTACAGTTTGTATGGGAATCCAAATAACTTTTCCCAAAATTAAATTTTACGCAATTTGTGAGTCGCAACGTTAAAATACTAAGTAGAAGATTGTATTCACTAAGTTTGAAGAATGTAGGTTGTATAGAAGACACTCAGTTAAATTTTGTAATTTTTTATACATTTTGTATGTAATTTTTTTCCGCGCCGCCCATTCTACCCTGCGAAAATTTACAGACAAATGTAAGGAAAATTAGAAAAATCAGCTGAGCGCGTCTTAGCCAAGCTACATATCCTTCAAACTTGGTGAATACAATCTTCTGCTCAGTGTTTTAACGTTGCGATTCATAAATTGCGTGAAATTCGATTTTGGGAAAGGTTATTTGCCAAGGGTTCCCATACGCGACATTCTGAAAACACACGTGCCGCCATGCAGTTTTTCGGTGGTACATAAATTTGAAAACCGAGTCAAGAACAACTGCATAAAATCTACCATTTTATGTCCGAGTGTGCAGATTCTATACCAAACAAGTATCCGCGTTTTCCGCAAGGAGTAATGAATCTTCCTGCCACCTCAGTGATGAAGTTTGATATGGCATGCTCTTTCCTGTTCCCATAATCGAACACGAGTTTACCGTTTTTCTCGTATATGGACGAGTTCTAAAAGAAAAAATAACGAAAATCTCTTTAGTCAAAACACCAACACAGGGATTAACATGCTAAGGTACAGGCAAACTCCTCAATAACAACAGAAAATCAAGTACTACCTTGCTACTGCTTTCTGGAATATTAAAATTATGTGAAGTTTTGTTGTATAATTTCTGGCTAAAATTCATTCTTTTATAGTCCAATGTCAATTCTACACTTACATAGCAATGGAAAATTGTATTATTTGTCTTTTGGCTAGATGCCGGTCTAGATGGGAAAATCTAGAAAGCGTTCAATATTGATTACAGCCAATCAAACTCGTGAATTCGGTGATTCCCAGTCCTTGTTAGAAACAGCCATATATTAAGAACTAAATAAAGAACCTTAAATTTTTAGGCAGCATATTTAAATACCGGAATGATTAAAGCACCAAAGTATGCAAATACATAAGTACCAGTAGGAACATAAATGACTATGCGGGAATACAAGACAGTATGGGAATACACAGCAATGCATTAAATTAATCATTCTAGATACGTGGGAAGATGTGCCTAGGGAATACAATACATGGGAATACATAGAAATGCATGAGAATACGCAGGAAATGATAAGAACACACGGGAATGCATGAGAATTCATGGGAATACGTGGGAATACATGGGAATACATAGGAATACATAGGAATACATAGGAATACATAAAAATACATGGAAATACATAGGAATACATAAGAATACATGGGAATACGTGGGAATACACGGAAATACATGGGAATAGGTGAGAATACATGAGAATACATTGGAATACATAGGAATACATGGTAATACATGGGACTACATGGGAATACGTGGGAATACACGGGAATACGTGAGAATACATGGGAATAACATGGAAAAATGAGGGAATACATGGGAATACATGGGAATACATGGAAAACAGGAATACGTGTGAATACATGGGAATACATAAGAATACATGGGAATACGTGGGAAAACGTGGGAATACGTGGGAATACATGGGAATACATAAGAATACATGGGAATACGTGGGAATACATGGGAATACTT